TCTTCGAATTGGGACAGTCCTCCGCGCGGGGCAATGACGCGGCCGACAAATGCGCACTCATGAGGACCCAGCCCCTGAATTGAGACACAGCCCACACAGTATGTGAACCCCAATCTAAATAGCCCCCATTCCACACAACTTAACGCAACAAAATATTGTTTTTCTTATGTCTTTTGGTCAGTCAGGACAGCCCCAGGCGTTCATTCTTTTTCAGACTTTTTTTACATAGTTTAAGGTTGCCAAGACCTATTAGTATCAGGTGAATGTTCAAAGTGTTACGGCTGGTCAGAGTCAATATATTAAAAATGTAGAATGAATATAAAAGATTAAAAGTAATCATAGAAGTGTTATCCTTTCATACAAGATGAACCGACAATCGTCCAGATCACTGTTGGCATGTGTTGTGGTCAAAGGTTCACAGATAAGTCTCTGCTCGCTCCCATGGCTGCATCTCTGTGAAGAAGCCCTCGTACAGACCAAAGCCCTGATCCAGGGTCAGGGGCATGGCCTCGTCTTTAATCTCGTCCCACGGCTGCAGCACAGCCTCCCCCAGCTGCTCTGCGAACAGTGCTGGTGGCTCGTCGAAGTGATGCAGGTGGTGCTGGCCGTGGAGCAGCTGCTCTTGGTCCGGCTGCTGGTGCCTCTGCAGCGGGTGATGCTGCTGCTGCTGCTGCTGCTGCTGCTGAGGGACGTGGAGTTCCCCCATGTTGACCGAGCACTCCGTGGAAGCGGCGCTCAGGTCCATGTAGCCGTAGGGCTGGTGCTGGTTGATGTGTTGGCTCTGACTCATGATGTCGCCGCACCACCTGCCCGCCCCCGCAGAGTGCTGCCTCCCGTGAACCTCCATCTCACATCCCAGGGAGCTCAGCGCCGAGTTGATGTCCAAGTCCTCAAAGGTGCTACAGTTGCCACCGAGGACGTCATCGAACACGGACGCCAGGTCGAAGTCSCCTTTCAGGGTGTCTGCTTTGTTAGCTTCCACGGCTAGAAAAGGGGACTCCGTGGCTCTGATTGCCTTGGTGTTTTTAGAAGGAAGATGCTTTTGTTTGCTCCCTTGATAAAGGCAGGAGTTGTGGAGACTGTGGTAACCCTGAACCAGTTTGTTCTGTCTCTGTGGGGCGCTGCTGCTGCTGCTGCTGTAGTGGCTCGCTGACGTCCTCCTCCTTTTAAAGATGCCATTGACAAACATGTCGGCATACTGCGGATCGATCTGCCAGAAGCCTCCTTTCCCCGGCTCATCTTTCTGTCTGGGGACCTTCTTGAAACACTTGTTGAGGGACAGGTTGTGACGAATCGAGTTCTGTGTCAATAAAAAAACAATAATAAAACGAGAAAAAAAGAAGAATAATTTAACACAGACCCAATGGCAAACTGAAGCCAGTCATGCGAGAGCTAAAAATGCCAATTTGTCAGGGAGACAGCAGAGTGGGCGTTATGAGTACTGTTGTTGTTTGTATAGAAACAGCAAATGGACCTAATGAGGCTTTCTAGTAACAGGTAGCTCAGTGCGTTTCAAACATGATCAGCTGTGCTTAGCTGCTATCTCTCTCAGGAACCCTCATTAATACACACACACACACACACAAGTGCTTTCATCATCATCATCATTCCCTTTACAGAAAAAGCCTGTATAAACCCAAAAGAAAAATGGAAATTACAGATGTGTTAAAATTCTTGTGTAAATTATGAGACCAAGGCAGAGTGACCATAAAAGACATATTTTTATTTTACTTCTGATATAACACTAAAAAAAAATCCTGGGTTCTTTTGATAACTWTTGCTGGGTTAAATCAGTTGGGTCGGTTTGATTAACCACCGGGTCAAAAGATGAATCGTGTCGTTCTGCACTGTCTGCTGTTTTGGGTCAGAYGTTGCTTCAGGTTTTAATACTTAAAACAATAAAAAACTATTTGYAAGATGTGAGTCCTGTTTAGATTTRTTGACTTATTTGCACTACACAATAAGTCTGGTTTCCTACAATAAAGTTTGGTGGTTCTAAAGTAGCCAACTGGCTCCTGAAATAAGAATTGTCCAATGTTTAAAACTCTAAAATGTATTATTTGTTAAGTTCATAAGGAATGCAGTCTGTTTAAATGGAGAATGAAACAAAGGAAACAGTGATGGTGACTAATCAGAGCTGAAGAATCATGTTTTGTTTTCTGCAGGGAAACATGTTGAACTCGGAAATATACTTTGGGTACTTATAGCTATTTTTATCTATTGAACTGAACATCTTTGCAGTTAMAGTTACAGCATGTTTTAAATGTTTGGCTAACATTCGGTTATAGGATCAGCATAAAGTACAGCAACAGTAAACTCTCAAAGATTCAACAGGTATTTGTTCTAAAACCTTGACCTGATGATGAAGCTTTTCCTGTCTTTTAAATCCTGAAAACTGATGAATAAAAGACATTCTGAGTCAAATGATTCAACATCTTTATGCCTCATTGACATGCCCACTGCAAAAATAGGGTGTGTGGGCCCTATCAGTTGTGCATCCAGACTGTGGACCCAACTCAGGACTGATCTGGGCCTTTTTAAATCTAATCTTAAAACATTTTTACTGGGCCATGCCTTTAATACTTAGTGGCTTTCTGGCATTCTAGTATGTTTTTTTAAACTTTGGTATTGGGAAACACTTTTAAAAACAGATCTATAAATAAATATTGACTCATTGATTGAAAATAMCGCAGTCCCAAAACCTTCTGGAGCCACAAATGTGCAATAAATGAGCTAGAGAAATTACATTTTTTAGTGAAAATGCAAGTGTTATTGTTGAGTGCTGAACAACTGCTAACTTTTACTGAAAATGCTGAAACTGAGTTGTTTAAAAGAGAAGCAGAAGCTAAAAGCAGAAAACAAACAGGAACAAAACACTTCGAAATCAAAATGTTCGGTAAAAATCAAAAGTAGGCCAAAAGACGATGTTAAAGCTAAAAGTTCAAAGTAGCAACAGGCTCACTAAAAGTAGCTATGGCTGGCAAATAGTAGCAAAAAAACTGGCTAAACGTAGCAAAGGGATAACTAAAAGTAGCAAACGATTTGATAAAAGTAGCTAAAAGYAGCAAAACTTGACATTTCTTGGTGTAAAACTCTGTCCAGTCAGTGCTCCTWTTTTTAATTTTAGAAAACTGGCAACCTGCTAAATGAAAGAGAATAACTTATTAGCTCTAATTCAATAAATTATTATTTTAACCCAGTTTTGGGTCAAAACTGATAACTTGATGAGATCAAGCTCCAGGGTTGGCTCAGTCCATACTGGACCCAGTGCTGGATCACAAACTGGGTTTTTGCAGCCGTGTTTAGTGTGCTGAAACTGGGGACACTGGAGTCGACTGCTCTGCCTTCCCTCCTTCACCAGCATTGTCAGTCTCATAAAT